AGTTGCAGATGTTGTTCGTGAATTGATACTTGAAACTCTTATTTTAATCATATGTATAATGCTCTGTTGCTTTCTGCTTTGTAATAATTGCAAAAGTAATTGCAAGAGTCTTGTAATCTGATTTATATTTATATATTAATTTGTAGAGGTTGTCTCGATTAATTTTTGTCTTCAACATCCCGTCACAGTCTGGCGATCAATTTTTATGCATTTCCAGATAGAATCGTTCAAATATTTCATTATAATGAATATAATTTTCAATCGTTCAAACCAGGGAAATTTAATACAAACTTGAACAAATATGTTTACCAAGTTGATGTGTTTATAAAATTACACTGGGTTACGAAAATAATCACGAATAACACTCTTTTTGTTCGTAAATTATTAAAATCTGGATTACGCTCGCGTTAAAATTGAATTACAGCTTTATCGCATGATATATTCGAATGGAAATTGCTCGATCGATTCAGCATTTATGTAACATTAAATGTAAAACAGATTAAAGACTTGAAACACTTCAATACCCTTTTAGTCAAAATCTACGCCATGTAAAGCAGGTTAGCTCGTCTATCGTGATCCAAAGATCTCTCGAAATCCTATTTTCCGTGACTATCCGGTCTGAAGTTTCACGGCGAGGCTTACAGTTAAACCAAGAGTTTGGACACTAATTACCAACCCCCTTCCCCCGTAGATAGTAGTTAGTTAACGAAGGTTTAATTCCCTTTATCATTTTACGTTTAACGCAATATTCCCTGTATCCAATAAAGCTAGAACAGTGTTTCAATTAAAGAACGTATCGTCATCCCGAAACCGGGACGTTCATTCGCGTGTGCACGCCCGCCGGCGGATATTTCATCGAACCAGAAGGGAAGGGAAGAAAATAATCAGGAAAGAAAGGGGAAATAATCGTGCCGCGTTAATTGTTGGTTTCGCGTTTAGAAAACGGAAATCCGCGTGTCGCACGGAGGAGGGGAAGAAAAAAGAAGAAGAAGATGAAAAAAAAAAGGCAGCGTAGAATGCGAAATAAATTCTCGGATTTGCGGTTCTGGAACGAGCCGAG